CCAATCTTCTGGTTAGCAGTCAAATGCTTTAGGCACTATGTCATCAGAGTTCCACTTTCTAGCACCTGTCAAAAGTCCACTTTTCATCAAAGCCATTCTAAAGGTTTTGCCCTCCATGAAACTTTTCTGATTTCATATAAATTAGACTTTGATTTCTTCCTTCTTTCTAAGGACATTCTATAAATCTCAGAGTGTAGTATGTTTGTGTGTGTGTGTGTATACAGTGGTGTTTCTATTATTGTGCAGTGGTACAAACCTCTCAGGCTTTGAAGACTTATGTAACTGGATTCATTTTCAGGCATTGCCAGCTCCTATCTGTGTGTAGATTAATTATCCAACATACCATGATTTTATACAGATAGCATGCACTTTCTAGGTTTGCTTGCTAACCTTACCCATTGCTGTGAGGAATTTTTGTCAGCCCTCCTATGCCATTTTTTTACATGTTTCTGTAAAAAAAATTAGCAATGTACCCTTGCAAAAAAATTCAGAGTGTGTGTGTGTGTGGGGGGGCACATGATTGTCAAACAAACGTAGAGAGACTGTTATGTGCATAAAAAATGCAGTAAAAACAATTTTTCATCCATATACAGAGATAGTAATTCCTACAAGACACTTTTTATGATGGATCACTCACTTATTCACTCAATAGCTACCTATTAAGAGTACTTTATGTGCTGAAGATAAAATACTGAATGAACAAATTACTGTTTCTAAATTAAGAAATCAGTAAACCAACAAACAACACATGATCCTAGAATTTGGAGGCAAGTAGTGAGAAATAGTACAGAGAAAATGAAACAGTTTAAGGGCTACAACCAAAAGCAAACCCATTAAACTGATTGTGAATCATGGTGACCCCTTGTGTTACCAAGTAAAATAGTTCCTTAGAATTTTCTTCACTATAATCTTAACAAAAGTAGATCTCCAGGCCTTTCTTTTATGGCACCACTGAGTCGGTTCAAGCCACTAATATTTAGGTCAACCACTAACACTTTGCATAATGCAAGGACCTAGTACATGGGCAGAAGTTGTTTTTAAGAAAGGTAGTCAAGGGAGGAATATCTAAAGAGATGATATTTGATCTGAGTTCTGACTTGAATGAAGTGAGAGAGGCAGCCATGCTGGTATTGGGAAAAACATCGTTCCAGGCTGAGGGAATATCTATTGCAAAGGATCTAGGATGGACCATGATTGGCATGCTTGAAGGATGGCCAGGAAGGCAGTGTGGCTGCAGTGAAGACAACAAGGTGTGGGGATTGTGGTTGGAACTAGGAGCTGGAAGCAGCCCTGGGAAAATTTAGAATCTTATTCATGTTTAGAGAGTTTTCAGCAGGTACGGGGTTACTATATACTCTGACATATTTTTTAAAATGGTTCACTCAGGGTTATGGTTACTTAGTCATACCACATACTGTGGATAAACTTGGAGGACATTATGCTGAGTGAAGTAGTCAGTCGCAGAAGGACAAGTATTTTATTAGTCTGTTATTGTGAAAGTCAAAGAAAGGTTTATCTATGGAAGGAAATTTTAATTGTTTACAAGGGGTGGGAGGGAGAGGGGAGGGAACAATGTTAGACAGGTAAAGATAAGAACTGATTTGGGTGAATAGAAAGGCAATGTACCAAATGTAAGTGATCAACATGGTGGCACTGAGGAAGAGGAAGACATAAGGAGGTACATGGGAGTTACAGACAACAAAGATTAACCCTTTTGCACATACAGTACTGTATTATCAGTGAAGGCAAACATGGGTATAGAGGTTGTTAGATGAGTGGACAGGCTGAACTATTATGAATGTCTATGCAGCAGGGAGTGTACCCAAGACCATGTATAGAGTTGGCAGACAATTGTTCTACAAGTGAATATATATGTTCTATAAGAATTCTCAGGTTATAGTAGAGTTGACAAGGGGCAAGTTTGTAGTCACATCTTTGTCACAGCCAGCTACCCAGACAGAGAAAATAGTTGAACCTGTGGGCTCAGGACCATAGTTGCAGGGGATATCAAGCTCAATTGGCGTAACATACTACACAAAACATTGTTCCACCTCCTACTTTAGCAAGTAGTGACTGGGACCTTTAAAGCTTGCAAGCAGCCATCTAGATGCAACAATGAGTCTCTCCTCATCCAGAGCAAATAAGAATGAGGAAAACCAAACATTTATGGAAACAATTAATCCAAGCGACTGATACACCATGCTATCCTTAGCCTATAAGACTATGAGACCAGAAGAACTAGATGGTGCCTGGCTACCACTGTCAACCACTCAGAAGGGGATCTATGGAGGAGAACCTGGATAGAGAGGGAGAACAATGTGGAGCAAAACTCAAACTTTCCATCATTTGGAAAAAGGGAACCAGGTTTGTTGGTTTGATAGAGCCTGGCGGAACCACTAAGATTATGGCCCCTAGCTGCCCTTCAGGTCTTGAATTGAACCCACAACTGCGGTTTCCAGCCAAACAAAAGACAGACATATGAGTTGAACATTTTCCTGAGGTAAATACATTCCTTGGAGAGAACAATCATAGGAGATAGAAGATATTAATGTGGTTGTTTAAAACAATACAGCATGTTGTGTATGCACAGGAAAACAGCTCAGGAGGCAGCAGTGAGTGGAGGGATGGACACAGGGAAGAGGTAACTATCAAAAAGAAGTGGGAGTGGAGCTGTTCCATTCCGGTAAATTGTAGTCAATGCCATGAAACAAAGTGTATGTGAAATGCTCTATGGAAAGTGAATTTGCTTTGTAAACTTTCACCCAAATCACAATTAAAAAAAAAAAAAAGGCTATAACAATATCACAATTGATGTGTCACAAATGATTGTGTCATTCTGATTTTGGAGGAGCTAACAGGAACTTCTTACTAACTCTAATTCAAAGAATGAAAAACAAACAAACAAAAAAACCTCCATCCTTGCATACCTGCATAAAAGCCTTAAAGAATATATTTAGAAATACATGACCTATTTAGGTCATTAAATCATCGTTGCCATTTTTATGCTTATTCAGTCTTCCCGGAGAATAATTTTTAACTGACATTACTTACAGTACAAAACGTTAAAAAGTCTCAAAGAAATAGTTAGTATACTCTCCTTTGGGAGGACATGCGGAGATGAGGGCAGTAACCTCTGCTTTTTTAAGGGATCACTCCCTTAAAACAACCTTCATGAACAATCTTCCCAAATTGTTACCATCTATTCATGATGATATTGTAATCATTCTGGATGAGAACCATTTCATTTTGCTGCATAAAATTTTCCTTTACAAGAGTTAAGAGCAAAATTTCAAGTATGAACATTGGAAATGCCAATATTCTGAGAATTCCATTATTCTGGGTGCAAGTATAGCTTAGTAATTGGCTTACTTATTCTCAGGAGAATTTCACTTCTGAATCTCCACTGGACTTGTGGTCCTAGGAGAATATTGAACTCCAGCATGTCCTTGGAGTTCAAAGACCTATAAAAAACAAATCAAAGTATTTCCTTGCTTATAAAAGTTTTCTCAGGATCTGAGATTGGAGACAATCTTATCATTTACTCAAACTAGAAGAATCACTAAATCTTAGAGCTATAACAGACCCTGGAGTCTTCACTCCAACCATATTCTTTTTTTAGAAAAGAAAAAGAAAATCTTTTCAAAGTTGCAAAGTGAATTAGTGACACAGCTGGAGCATGAACTCAGCTTTAGAAATGATGAGAAGAGGATGTATTTCTTCTTCGTTTCCAAAAGTTGCCATATGATGCTTTGATGTTAGATGTTAATAATACCACACACTAAACAAGATCAACAAGGTTCTGGAAAGGTAATATTTGCCATGAAGCTATTGAATTTATTTCACAATTCCAAGAGAGAAAATTTAAGTTAAATAGGATCAACAATTCTACTCGTGGGAGCATTCAAGCAAGTGCACAAATTCTGATTATAGTTTCCTTAAGACTCATTATCCTCAAGTTGATGCTGTACTTTAGAACAGAGTAGAACTGCTCCAAAGGGCTTTCAACGCAGCAGACTGCCACATCATTCTCCTCCAGAGTGACTGGTGGGTTTGAACAACAGATATTTTTTGTTACTAGGCAAGTATTTAACAAATGTGCCACCAGGACATCGAGTATATTTTACTAAAGCATTTGTTGTGAAATAGCATTATGTAGGTAGAATTCCAACCTATGTTTTAATAAGACTGCTGTTGACACAAATATACATATGGCTATTGCATAAGCAAAGAAAACTAAATTGTAGGACAAGACTTTTGTGTTGCCAGTGGGGTGTTTAGTATGTGGAGCAAGAGGTAAAGGTCTTTTCTTCTTTCCCTTCATATTGTACTGTTTCTCTGAGATGCACCAAGAATACCTTCTAAAACTCTTCTTAGAAAAAACAATTATAACGAAGTCTCCAGAGTGAATTTGAAGACCTACTTAATTGGAACCACATGGATGCTGCCCATCTCATTCAGACAAAGGATCTTAACCCTAAGATATTCATTGCCTTACCAGTTTCTCCTTGAGGAGTGCTCTGAATTACTGGTGAAACAACAAACCAAAATATACAAAAGATCCAACACTAACCCTAAAAATAAATTCTTAACACTTAATAAAAACTTGATGTTCCCTGTTCTGAAGGTTGCAGATATAGAAACAGTTCCATTGATAATTATTGATGAGCTCCTGTTTATTTTTGTCATTAATTTAATCTGTGAGAGCACACGATTACTAGTAGATTGTTCTATTGAGATGTATTCTAATTATTAAAAAATCACATTATATTCATTCTTTGTTTCTCTATAGTTTATGAATCTTGTTGTTTAAAATAATGCAGCACTGAATTATATTATGTAATTAATGATCTTATTAGCAACCCTTAAACACTTAAGATTATCAGCTTTTTTTTCTTTTCTATTACAACACTAATAAAGCTATTACTTATCACAGGAAAATAGCTTTATTATCTCCTGTGATTTTCTTTTTGACAGATTCAGCTCATTGTTTCCTGAAGGAAATGGCCAAACAAAATGATTCCACAGTGACTGAGTTTGTCCTCGAGGGACTGACAGAAAAACCAGAACTTCAGCTGCCCCTCTTTCTCTTATTCTTGGGGATCTATGGAGTCACGGTAGCGGGAAACCTGGGTATGATCTTCCTCACCACTTTCAGTTCCAAGCTCCAATCTCCCATGTACTTTTTTCTTGGTAATTTGTCAGTCATAGATCTTCTTTATTCCTCAGTTGTTACCCCCAAACTCTTGGAAAACTTTGTATGGGAACAAAATGTCATTTCCTACACTGAATGTATGGCACAACTTTTTTTATTTTGTGTTTTTGCTACTGCTGAATCCTATATGCTGACTGCCATGGCATATGATAGATACGTAGCTATCTGTTGTCCACTGCTCTACAATGTCACCATGTCTCAAAAGGTCTGCAACATGCTGGTGACTGGAGTTTATATTATAGCAACTTTTGGAGGTATGCCCCACACAATATTCATGATAAGGCTTTCTTTTTGTGGTGACAATATCATTCACCATTACTTCTGTGACATAATTCCTCTCCTAAAGCTCTCCTGCTCAAGTACTTACATCAATGAGCTTATGGTGATACTTGTGGGCGGATTCAATGTGTTAGCAACAACTGTGCCCATCACCATCTCTTATGCCTTTATACTCTCCAACATACTTCAAATACCTTCAACCGAGGGTAAGTCCAGAGCCTTTAGTACCTGTGGCTCTCATCTTACAGTTGTTGGGCTTTTCTATGGATCCATCATATTCATGCATTTTAAACCAACATCCAGCATCAATGAGGTCCAAGAAAAGGTGGCCTCTGTGTTCTACACATCAGTGATTCCTATGCTAAATCCTTTGATCTACAGCTTGAGAAATAAGGATGTAAAGAATGTGTTGAGCAAAGCCATGGGTATGAGGTATGGACCACTCCAGCTTAGTATTAAGAACCACTAAAGTCTTAGGTAACAGTCTGTTCTTTCTTTTTTTTAAAGAACATCATTTTCTGTTTCCATCAATTTCCTTTTACTACAGTTTCCAAATATTACTGTTTTACTGAAATTTCTGTGCACAAATACACACAAGCCATCACACATTTATATGCCTAGAAAAAACTGCTCTAGGATGTTATGATTCAGGCATTAGTAAGTCTTTGATTAGACACAGGAATATTTATTTAAAAAAAAAATATTTCCCAGGTTGATCTGCATGATACTACGTTTTTCCTATTAAAAAAAAACAAAAAAAAAAAAAAACACTAAGGTAGTATATTTTTCCTTTAATTGGTGTAAATTGATAGTCAATACATCTGTCTGCCATAACTAGCTCAATAACACTAAGGTAAGTGATGTTGGTCTAGGCTGTAATAGAAAATATAAATCTTAATACTTAATCATGAGATTAATTTTAAAAAAATTACTGTGTACTTAGTTGATTGAGACCTCCTTTATAGTTCCTACTCTATATTTTTTCACCATGTATCTTTCTGCTTTAAAGTATAATGTCCACAAGTAATCCTTTACAAAACTGAATGAAGAAATCACTAATAGTGTATAGCCTATATAGCATACAGTAAGCCAATGAAGATAATTTCTGCAAGCACACTTTGTTCTTATAGCAAAACCCACAGGCAACTAATAAGTCTGTCTTTCAGAAATACAAAATACATAAACAGTAGATTTCTCTTGCAAATCTCAGGATATTGAGATGATGGGCATGATATTAGAAGATGACTAATTAATTGTCTTCTGCATACTACCTCCCCCTGTTCCATTTCCAGACTGTATTTCACATGGATTCTTCTTCCATACAAGCATAGCACTTATAGTGGTGATGGACTGTACATTCTTTTGCCCAACCTTCTCTGGCATCTATGACTTGAACATCAATTGTCTTTTACAATTATCTCCATTCTCTTTTTATGTTTCCATGGTGAGCAGAAAAGATGGTGACAATTTCTATTACAAATTTCTTTTACTTACTCTCCTTTCACTGTTATTCCTAAGTTGACATTTACTAAACTACAGAGGAAGAGGGAATTTCAAAATGAACACATTAATATTTACCTCTCTCCCCTTTAAGTCTCCTCAACATGAATCAGGACTGTCTGATTACACAAGCTATCTGTGCTGACCATCCACGAAGTTCAAGTACATCTACAAGTTTATCAAAAGGTGCCAGATATCCTTTGAAACCTGGCTTCTTGGATCTCTACCATGAGGGTTAAATGAGAAATCTATATCTAAAGGTAAAAATCTAAAGGTAGAAATCCAGTGGAAAGATCTGTGATGTACACTGTATTCACATATTGTATTGAAATGGTCATATAAAATTGAAGATTGTGCAGTTTCCCTCCTTATGGCATTCCAGTTTTTTGGGAAACTGATGACTCAAATGATTTTGCAGTAGATCAAAGAAAACTCCAAATCTACAGCTATAGAGCCTATTCTAACTCAGGAACTTGATAGCACAGACTAGAACTGCTCCGTGGGTCTAGAAGGCTATAAATCTTGACCAAAACAGGTTGCTTCATATTTCTCCAGGGGAGAGGCTGGTGAGTTTGAACCAATGACCTTTTGAATAGTATTTGAGTACCTTAGCCACTGTACCACCAGAGTTCCTTCTGTCTGTTTAGGATGTTAGAAACATGAATTCAGAATACTAGTTCTTAGGGAAAGCTTGCTTTCTTTGTTGATTATGGAGGAAGGTTTTTTTTTTTTTTTTTTCTGTCTTTTCTGAACTTCTAAATACTTCCTGTAAATACAAGAGTAAGTATTTGAAAACTGAGTTTGATGGAGGAACTCAATATGCTCAGTCCCTAAGTTCCTTCTCCTTTATTTATTTTTAAACCACTTTCTTGAGGTTTCATTTTCATACAGCACACTGCATGCATCTCAAGCATATAATTTCAGAAATGTTGACATATTTATAAATCCAGGAAACTATCAACACAATGGAGTCAATATATCAATCACCCTTAAAATTTTCCACATACACCTTGGCAATCCCTTTCTCCCACATTCCCATGTTCTCCATCTCCCTGGCAACCACTGATCTGCTCTCTGATATTATAGATTAGTTTTTACTTTCAAAAAATTTATACAAAATAAATTAATAATAACCACTTCTCTGTATAGAATTAATTTCACTTGGCGTAATTATTTTGCATCGAATTGTGTTGCTGCATGCTTCTATACTTCATTGTTTCCTTTTTATTATGTTGAAGTAGTTCTATTGTATGTATGTAACACAGCATGTTCATCCATTTACTTGGCAATGAACACTGGGGTTGTTTCCAGGTTGAGACTATAAGGAGTAAACTTACTATAAGCATTCATGTATAATTCTTTATATGGACATATTATTTCATTTTCCATGGATAATTACGTGAGAGTAGAATGTCTGGATCATAAAGTATGTATACAAATAACTGTTTTAAAATTACAAAATTATATTTCAAAGTTTGTGTCATTTTACATTCCCACCAGCACTTCATGAGAGTGCCAATTGGTCCACAGCTTCAACAGTACTTGATATGGTCACTCTTCTTAATTTTTACCATTTGGATAGATGTCTAGGTATTATGTCATTGTGATTTACTTTTACTTTTCTTAACAATTATTTTTCTAATTTCCTAAGATGGAAACTGAAATCATTAATTTGAGTAATTGGCTAATCCATAAAATATCAAATAACAAACTTATTTAGAGAGTTCAGTATTTGTTTTTTTCTTTACAAGGTATTTTTTTCTTTGTCTCAAGGAATAAAGTCAAAATAATTTGTTCAAAGTTATTTTTTATACCACTGCAGGTATGTTACCAATTTAAAATACGGTTAAATTAATTCAATTTCTGCTTATATTCCTTTTTGGTATTTTTCTTCATCTGCATTGATATTATTTTTATGCTTGTATAAATAATTTAAATGATTCCAAAAGTCAAAATTCCTATTTTTGTGTGTACTAGAGTTTATTTAAATAATTTCTAAGTGAACATTTGCTTTGTTTTTAAGAAATATTAAACTATTTAAAAATTCTTGTACAAGATCTCTGTGTTTTGTATTTTTATACCAATGGAGATGCAACTTCTGTGTCATTGTGATAGGTAGAATTACCATATCAAAAGGCAAATGTATGTTAAATTCCAGATACTGCCCATTTGCCCTCTATGTGGGTTATAACAATTAGCATTCCCACTTTCTGTATCTACATCTATATCGATATCTATACCTGTATCATCAATATCTATCTATCTTGTGTCTTACTATGTGCCTTATTACCTACTCTCTTGATGATATAACACCAGTCAAGCTTGAGTTTAGTTCTTTGTGTTTTCTTTTTTTCTGCCAATCTAATAATTGAAGAATGACATCTCAATAAAATTTTAATTTGTATTTCCCTCATTTTATGTGCAGTTGGACATTCTTCCATATGGTCTCAGACCATTTTTTAAAATCTTTTGTGTGTGTGTGTGAATAATGAGTTTCTGTTTTTCTGCCAGTTCTTATTGTTATTGTTTATTGTTTTACATATTTCTTAATGGTTTAAATTAATTTAAGTATACAATAATTTTCAAAATAAACTTCACTAATTTTAAGTGGATGGTTTATTAAATTGTGACAAATACATATACTCACCTCTATAAATATCACAATCGAGATGCAAAACATTTCCATCATTCCAAAAAGTTTTCTCATGCCTCTTTGGACTCTACCTCTATACCCACTTCTGCCCCCAGGAAATCACTGAACAACTTTTTGTCAATATTTAGGAGTTATGAATAAGTCAATATATAAAAAAATATGTCATTATACTACTTAAGGTTCTTCAGAGAAAAAGAACCAATAAACTCTCTTGATCTCTGTCTCTCACTCTTTCTCTTTGCCCCCCTCTAATTCATACACTCTGTTACTATTATATGCATACTGCTTTTATTCTGATTTATTATATAACAGAGAGCTATTTATATTAAGCAAATGGCTCATGTAATTATGAGGACAGGCTAGTCCTAAATCTATAGGTCAGGTAGCAGGATGAAAACTGAGAGTTTTATGTCTAAAATCAGTAGGCCTCTGGTGGTTCAAATAGACCACAAAATGTCTATTTAAGGTCTTCAGGCAGAATATTTGTTGCTTATGTTGTGGAAAAAAAATAGACAATCAGGGTACCTGCACCTGAGGTAAAACAATGAAAGTATATTACTGGCCTTGCTAAAGAAAAGTAAACTGCTTCTGGTGGTGTTTAATAATATCTATAGAGTAAACAACATTTGCCAGATCAACAGCTATGTGAGTACCAGGAGATACATTCATTTTCTCAAGCAATGAAACTACATAGGAACAGCAGCTGCAATTGGAGATACTACCTGGCTAAGCTTATAATAGTCCTAAGTCTTCTTCAAGATCTATCTATTTCTGGGCAGTTCAAATAGTTAAGTTGAATGTGATGATGGGATGTGACCACATACTTCAAGTCTTTCAGTGTGGCACTAATCTCTGCAATCCATCCAGGAATGTTTTATTGATTTTGCTTTACTGTATTCCTAGTAAGGGCAATTCTAATTGCTTCCACCATAATAGCCTTCACTCCACAGGTCAGGAAAATGTGGGTATTCTGTCAATTACTCAGCATGTCTATTTCAATTATGCATTTCAGAACTGTGGACAGAACCACAGAATAGGTTTAAGAAATCACTGGACACATTATGAGATGGACTTGAGCTAAAACTCCATTGATCACCTGAATTCCATAAGCTTCTCCTCTGACTGGTGAACCACAGCAACATGTTGATTTCCTACAAGTAGTATCAATTAAAACCAGTATCTAAAAATTAACACAGAGTCTGATTGCTTCATTTTTCTTAATGCACAGTCACCCTCATATAAGACAGTAGCTTCCTCTTGGGGAGGCTGAGAAAAAGATTAATAGTACAATTTTTTAGCAGTTAGTAGGGTACTTCCTTACTGAGGCACAGACTCCCTTTATTTTAAAGGATTATGGATCTGTAAACTAATTGATTGAGGGACCACAACTCTGTTTTGGTGTTTCAAGTTAGACTAAATTTTACCTGACTTAGAACTCTTACAGAGATCAAGTAAGAATTCCATACACTTATCTGTTTACCTCTGTTGTTGTTGTTATGTGCCATCGAGTTGGACCCAACTCATAGTGACCACTCCTTGGGTTTCCAAGGCAGTATCACTATGGAAGTAGATTGCTCCATCTTCCTTCCAAGGAGTAGTTGGTGGGTTTGAACAGCCAGACTTGTAGTTAGCAATCAAGTGTCTTAGCCACTATGCTACCAGAGTTTACCTCTAGTGACACTAATAAACAAGCCAATGCCAATGGTTTCTATGAGTCACATTGTTCTCAATTCTGCTTTGACTTTGATGTTTATCACAGTAACCATACTCACCTTATCTTTGGTTATTGATTGCAACCATTATTCCCATACTGTCATGAGATTCATATATCCCCATTTCATTTAATTTTTCCCATTTTAGTAACATTGGTTTCCACTGTAATATTTGACCCAAATTAAAAAAAAAAAAAAGAATTTTTCATGTTTTCTGGGTTGTTCCTCATAAATTTATTCCTTATACTTGTGGTGAAATGTGTGCCCTCTAGACAGTACCAGGGAAAGGGGGAAGATTTACATGATATATCCATTCTTACATCCAAACTTCTTAATATTTTGGACACTTTTTTCCTGAAATATACCAAAGTTGAGCTAGCATTTCAAATTTAGATAGTATAGGTCACATTTTGGTCCATATTTCAGTTTTCAAACAAAACAAACTGTTACAGCCCTTCGGACCTGCTCTTAGCTTAGAGTATCTGGCAAATTTTGAAGAATTTTTAACCAGCAGACTTACCCTGGAAAGGCCTGAGCAAGTCCTCAAAACAGAAAGGAGATGATAAATGAACTTGGAATATCAGGAACACAGAAAGAAGAAGAGAAAAATGTAAACCAAAGGATAAATATAATAGACATTTCTCCTTATGACTTTTCTAAATTATGTTTGTCACTGTGATAGTTAAGATTACATGTCAGCTTGCCTGGGCCTGGTTTTGAACAACTGGGAACCTGCTGGTAGTTATTCCCCATAAAAAGACTGGTAATCAACTCCGTGGTGGAATCTGCCACAAGCAGCTGAACATCTGCTTTAGGGATGTGGTTTGCTTCCAAGCTTTGAGAATGGTCTACAGTTTATGGTACTCTGT